GTGGAAGCCGCAGGCGGAGCCACTGAGAAAGAGAAAAAGCAGCAAGTTATCTTAAGTATTGATTCCAGAGGGTTGCGGAAGGCAACGAGGATGGGGCGGGCCTACTGGGCGGCTGCTCCTCCATCATCATCCGCGGCAGAACTTGCACTTGATGATCTTCTTAAAGGCGTTTTGGAAGTCCTTGTTGAAGTAGGCGTAAATGACAGGGTTGAGCAGCGAGTTGGCGTAGCCGAGCCAGTTTATTATGGCGCCCAACAGACTGGGCATGTGGCAGCTGTTCTCGCAGAAGGGCAGGACCAGGGCCACGATGAAGAAGGGCAGCCAGCAGAGGATGAAGGTGCCCATAATGATGCCCAGTGTCTTCACCGTCTTCCTCTCGCGGGCCAGAGCCATTTTGCGCTTTGCCTCGGCGTTGCGCTCATTTTTGTTCTCTAAGGAGGTGGGAGCACAGGGGACAGAACCCGCCTCACAGGGCAACGGCAGGTGCTCTTTGGAGTGGCCCATCAGGTGCACTTCGATCACCTCCAGGGCTGCGCCATCCTCGCCCTGCCGCACAGCTCCATTGGCGCACTGACTGCCCCCTGCCTTATTCTCCACGCCCTGCCCCCATCCTCTGCTCTCCGGCTCTCCATTTATGCTCTTCCTGGGCTGCAGGGCTGGCGACGCCCCAAAGTGGGTGTCCGCTCTCTTCTTCTCCACCTTCTTGACTGTCTTGCGGATGCGAAAGCGCGCGGCTCGAAAAATGCGCCCATAGAGAACGAGCATGAGTAGCAGCGGGATGTAGAAAGCGCCGAAAGTGGAGTAGATGGTGTAGCCATGGTCCTTGCTGATGGTACACGCGTCGGGGTTCGAGCGGTCTTCGGGGGTGCGCCAGCCCAGCATGGGCGGGATGGAGATCAGGAAGCCAATGAGCCAAGTGAGCGAGATGAGCGCCGCGGCACGCCGGGGCGTCCTCTTGTTCAGGTAGTCGATGGGGTCCGTGATGGCCCAGTACCTGTCCAGCGCGATGGCGCACAGGTGCAGGATGGACGAGGTGCAACACAACACATCGAGGGAGATGAACAGGTCACAGGTGACCTGTCCCAGCGTCCACTTGTTGAGCACCTGGTACAGCGCGGCCATGGGCAGCACTAGCACCGACACCATGAGGTCGGTGACTGCCAGCGAGCCGATCAGATAGTTGGCCACGTTCTGCAGGGAGCGCTCCAGAGCAATGGCAGCAACTACGCACGCGTTTCCCAGCACCGCACTGAAGATCAGGGTGCCCAGCAGCAGAGAGGTGACCACTTGGTAGCTGAAGGTCACGTCGGAGATGCCGGTAGCATTGCCGTTTGTCCCGAAGGGACCTTCGGGGGACGTAGTGTTGTTGCCCAGTCCGGGGCTGAGCACATCCATGCCTGCGCGCCCGGCAGGGGAGGGGGAGGGAGAACGAGCTGCGCTAGGATCCCTGGCCCCTCCCCCTGGGGTCGCAGCCCCTTTCTCCGGGGGGTTTCGGGGGAGGGGATGCAGGGGCTCAAGCAGGAAGTTCTTACTGCTCAGGCGAAGGCATCTCGGAGGAACAGCTTCTAGGGCTCCTTGGGCTCCCTGGGTCCAGCGCTTTCAGGAACTCTAGGTGGGAAACGAGTTGGCCGGAGAACAGCTCCGAGGTCTCGGGGCGACAGAGAGGTGGCCGGAACGCCTGTCTCTCGCTGTTCATTTTACTTTGCCGCCGCCCAACTGGCTGCCGGAGCCGGAGTCTTCCCACCAGCAAATAGTCTCCAATCCTAGAAGTGTCTGGAATATTGAAACCCCATCCTCCACGGTCATTGTGTGACCCTCCTCTCCTTGATTCTCTCCCTCCTCCCCTCCCACTCTCTTCTCTTTTTTAAAGCCTCCCGCTTCCACTCGCCTTCTCTCCACTAGCCTTCCCTTTCAGTTTCCCTCTCCCTTCTCTCACCCTTTCTTTATCCCTCTGTGTGTCGCTCAGACAGCCAGTCTCCCTCCCTCCCACGCTAACCCTCCCCTCCTAACACTTCCCCAACCCCGAGTGTCTCTTTCCTCTGGGTGCCCGCCCTCCTCTGCCTCTAGCTCAGCAACTTAGCGTTCAAGCCTCTTTTGTCCCCACACTTAGAACTCGCTTGCATACACTTGATCTTCTGGTCAGACCGACATTGCAACAAATACCTTTGCCTCCCACCCAGCCAAACTCGAGAAGAAAATTCTAGCTATACATTGCTTTATATTTCTGTCAAATTCTTAAGTAGAGTCGGCATCATATAGTGGCAGTTGGAAATAAGGAAAGGAGACACTAGAAGTCTGAGTGGGGGGGGGGAGTGGTGGACAACCCTAGGTCAGTATGTAAATTATGGTAAATTGATGGAATGAAAATGGAGTGTCAGAATTTTACAGACCACCCCATCCATCATTTTACATTTGACTCTCTTGGGGAGGATGTTGCCTGTGACCTTTTTAACCTTGGGGAATTGGGGGAGAAAGGAGTATAAAGTTCCTGTCAAAAGACAAATAGCTACATTTCCAAAGGAAAACACTCATTTCGGTATGTATTTAGAACACACTTACACAAGCCTTCCCATCACCATTTACCTTTTTTTCTTAATTATTGTTCAGTATTATAGATGTCCCTGCCGCCCCCCCTCCTCTTTCTCCCTCTCTACCTAGCCCCTGCCCCAACCCAGGCCTTCCCCACACTATAGTCTGTATTCATGGGCTATACATATATGCATATATTTTCTTTGGTTAATCTCCCCTCCAACCGCCCCCACTTCCGAGATCTGCAGCCTGTCCCATGCATACATGTCTCTGGACCTAAATTCAGTGAACATTGCCATTCCCCATAGCTTTGTGGTGCGTAAATTTAGGGAAGGGAATCTTTTGCCTATGTGTTGCAATGAGGTCAGGCATTTTATATGTTTTTTTGCTTTTTTTACCAGAAAGAAATCTCTAAAGGAGAATTTAGTGGAATCCCTGGTCGCTGGCCCCTGAGTTTCTCTTAAACTCAGAAACTGGATTCAGCACCTGGGACAGCTCTAGGCAATCAGGACTTATGCCGCCACCTTCTGGCAAATGCTTTAGAGCGCCATCTAGGAACCCTTGTCATGCAAAAATTAAGCAGGTATTGAAATCCCATTAACTTCAAGAAAGAGAAAAAAAATGGTTATTAAAAGAAAAGTAACATTGAGTCATGTATTTTTATTCTATTTCCTTAAAAAAAATTAGTGTTCTCTTTTGCTCTTAATCATATATACCAAGCTTATATTGCCTAGCTCGTTTTCAAAGCCTGCAGCATCTGTCATTCACAAGTTCTCTCTAGGAATGAGGTTTTAGTAGACTTAAGCAAACACTTTCTCACCTTCATCTGTGTTAGTTTTGTTCCAACAAAGCCTGCACTCTGTGACTCACACATTTCACGCATTCACCAAGGGGGGGGGGGATATTGGATTTTCCAAATGGGGATGACTTCACATAGAAAACAAAGAGGCTGCTATTGGTTGGTTCTAAGCTATTTCCTTTATCAAGGAAACCATATTTAATCCCATTTGAACATGGGTAAAGAATTATATTCCTAAACCCTAAATAGATATGTAAATAACAAATTCACTTATACATTCTGATAGCATGACTGAAATAAAGGAAGAGTACAGAATGCAATCCCAAAAGCAGATGACTCCAGGTAACATGCACAGATTCACTCCAGATAGCAATAGTCTTAATATTATTTTCAAATTTGAGCTCTGAATTTCATAGCTTTCAATTCTTTAAGACCAAGCAAAAGAGCAATCACCAAAGCATCAAAGAAAATCTAATTGTGCCAATGCATACAGCACAGGGCAGTGTGTTTGGAGAAGGATTGTTTTACAGTGCAGTGCTGGGCAGTTTCCACTTAATCACTTCAGCATGCTGCAATAAGGAACCTGACATTTGTAATGATTCATGGCATTGAAAACACAGATGAGGATACATGGTGATTCCGGCTATGGACTCTGAAGATTCTTTTAAAATTTTGTGAAGGTTCTCATTACCCTTTCTAAAATTTCCTGACAAACACAGAACTAAATAACTTTGTTAAAATATAGTTGCATGTCCAAAGATTATAATAACAAAATAATTAAAATCTGGATTCTCCAAAGATAAAACTCTGGAAATATAGTTGATAAATATAAACAAAGAGTAAAATAAATTTAAATTTTAAAAAGTAAATATATACATATTTGTATACATACAGGGGCATATTTGAATAGGAATCATATCAGATTTAGCACATATAAATAAATATATGTCAGTAAATATGTCAGTCAGCAGTTATGCATTCTATTGGATCCCAAATGGTTTAATAACTGACAATTTTTTTTCAAGAATGCTAAAATTTTGAAGTTAATATTCATGAGGACTGGCATTTGCTATTCTACTTTAATATTTTATGATGCAGCATTCTTATTCAAGTTAGAAAAATGTTCATGTTCATGTATTCCTTCAAAATAATGTACACAATATTTCAAACATTTCATTCTTTAAAATGTATAACAAGTTTTTTAGGCATTCTGATGAACACTAGGAAGAAAGCAGATGTATAAAAGGATATGCAGCACTAATTATGCTTTCATACCAAATATAGTGACTAATAAGTAATTATGTATAACTTAGGTTGAATGATTCTGTGATATATATTAAAAGCAGAATGATGTTGCATTTCACCATGTTCACACTTTTCCAAGTCTGCCATGTTAACCCTTAAAGATAAAGAAACATATATAAAAAAATGGTGCAAGCCAAAGATTCTGGATAAAGAGTTAGACTCTGGTTCTTTAAGGCCTCTGAAATCAGCCTAAAGAAAAGCTAGCCTTAAAGCAGATATTATGATGACATCATTTGCAAACAATACTTCCAGTCATTCTGCTTTTATTTTTTGTTTGAATTTACTAGATGAAAGTATGAACTTGTCAGTTATGGATCTAGAGTATGATACATCATCCATCATATGAAATTTCTCTAATGTAGTTTATGGGAGATAAAGATTTTTAACATTTTTACAGGAAATTTGATGTAAGCCCAGACTTTCAATGTAGCTCTTTGTCTAGGGACATAGAGATAAAAAGATATTAGGCTAAAGTTTTGCTGACTGTCCTATCATTACTGAAGTCTCAGGAATGGTTGGGGTTTCTCAGTAACTGATATGTTTATCCATAATCCCCAAATTATGGCTAATCCATTAATGAGTCAGTAACCTATATAGTAAAGAGTTGAAATTTTACTTAGGAGATTACAAGAGTGATTTAAAAGCCCCTATTTAAAAAGTTTTTACTTTTCAAGTAATTTGATTAGGATAGGTTATTTTTTTAAACTCAAAATACCATTCTGAATTTAATTCTCCTCAATCCTCAAATGCTCAAGTAATAGGGCAAATGTAGTTTTACTCGCACTGCGAAATTTTACTGGAATTCACCGGGAAAAGAAACTTTAAAGAGAAATGTTTGCTTAAATAATTTAGGAAATGCAGTCTTCTAATTACCAGTGAGAATTAACTGGTCATTTATAAGAAATGCAAGCACAGTGCCAGAGAATAAATTCTCCTTTAAACCTAAACATGCTTTTTATGTGTGTGTGTGTGTGTGTCTAATCCTCACTATCCACTTTGCTCTGATGATACCATTCCTTCGCTGCTCTTTCTACTCGGGCAGGCACTTCTCAGAGGCTCAGAACTGGGTTTTCAGTGGGAAAATACAAACAGTGGAAGCCTGTCTCTGCTTCTGAGAACCGTAACAATGGCTTTGTTCAGTTAACACACATGCTAAAAACAGCAGGTAGAAAGTGAAAGCAGTGTAGCAATGTGTTCACTAGGTGTGTGACCTTGGGCAGATTATTTAACCCTTTTGTTTTCTCAGTAGTAAGTGGGTGTGATAATAGATTTGTGAAGATTAAATGATTTAATACACTGCTGGCCCATAATAAACACCAAATAAGGTTAATCAATAATAGAAATAATAGTGATACAAGGTAATAATTATTCTCTCTCTACTGATAATTTCTGAGAAATGTAGAGAAAGAATTATGTGGGCTTAAAAGAAAGAGCCAGAGCCTAAAAAGAAAACAATTAAAGCCCTTTCAGGCGAGGATTTATTATGAAAACAATTTGCACATGAATATGACATTCTCCCTGTTTCTTAAAGTATTTGGAAAACTTGCAATTTTCTAGGTAATTCTGAGTACAAGACCAGTGAAAAAAAGATGTGACCTCTGCATTCTGGAACTTCTTTTTTTATTGCTTTTTTTTTGGGGGGGGGGGCGGTGACATTGGTTAATACAGTTATATAGGTTTCATGTTGTGGAGTAGGTGGATGTTACACTCACCTCCTCCCAGGACCAAACTGGAACTTCTTGACTTAAAGTATAAATCACTAAGAGGTGGGGGGAGAAAGAATGTGTCAACAAAGGTTTAATAATCAGTATTGGATAGTAGTCGGCCCTTTTTTCTAGGAGCGCAACCATTTGAGCTCCTAGAAAAGCATAAAATAAATAATTGTATAAAATAAATAATTGAAATTCATAGATTCCCAATAAAATGTTTAAAAGTACAGTAAAACCCAAAAGGTAGTTGCCAGAAGCCAATTCCAGCATGTCATAATTGCAAGAGTTTCATCAAAAGGTTGATGGAACTTGGGGACTCAACAAGGGCTGAGTCACATATGTTGTCCCCTTTTGGGAATGGCTGAAGGCATTTCCCCAAACCTGAAAAGGGATGATTGCTTGCTGCCAGACAGCTCAGGGCATCTTAATCTACATGTTATTGCCTCCTACTGGCCAAACACCTGAACAGCCGTAGGCTAATTCCCCCAATCTGACAATGGACTGTGTATATGAAACCCTACCCTTTGAAGTGTATATCTCCACCTCACCTCAGGACAATTTGTGTTAATAAAAAGCATGGGGTCCTGAGATCGTAGTTTCTTAAGTTAAGCTCATCTGACCCCCAAAAGCCTTTCAAAATTATGCTTGTCTCTGGACTCTTTATTAAGTTACATACAGCCTTTCTCCAGATTGCTGAACCCTTCTTGATGCCGGAACAAGAACCCCGGCAGGTAGTATTTCTGTTGTAGGTAATTATCAGATGATAGTGATTATAGTTATATAGTGTTAATAAGTGTACTTTCCTAGCCCCAATTCCTCTACACTGCCGCTTTCTGACAATATGGTTATGGCTCACTTCTGAAAGGATAAGACCATAGTGGAGATGAGAAAAATGTCTGAAA